TCCTCCCTCCTCAAAAATCAACTCCTAAACTCCAATTTGAGCATAGAAGAAGGGCCACAGGTTTGTTTGCCTCTCGCTATTAAGTGCTACCCTCCTGAAAAAAGGACAGTTTTTTATATATTTTTTATGGTGATGGTGATGATAATGATGACTAAGATGATGACTAAGATGATGATGATGATGGTGGAAATGATGATAATGATGACCATGATGATGGTGATGATAATTGATGATAATGATGACCAAGATTATGATGGTGATGATGATAATAATAATTGAAAATAATAATTATGTGAAACCAAAAACAAAAATTGAATGAAAAACATTTAATAGGGTGAAATGGAGACTCGAAATAACAAACTTTTAGCTTATTCCTTTAGCAAGAATGAAAATGGCTGAGAATGACAATGGATAGCATAGTATAAGCGTGAAATCATTTTACGGACTGTTCATTATTAATGAAGGGGTGAAAGTGGGTGAAAATTCCATAAACTTGTTATTCATCTCGTCGTCACCTCCCCCACCCCAAAGCTGCCAAATTTCCATTGAATGGTTCTATATTTACGACTTTTTATGGTGTAAAAAAACAACAAAATCAGAAAATAAAGCATGATTTTAGTCCTTAAAACAAGTATTTGTTTTCTACACATTCAGCATTGATATAAACACCTTGAAGACAAAAATGAAACTGCTTTGATTCGAGCGGAAATTCCTGAATATTTGAGGCGCCTATTTTAATCATGTCCCGTTCTTCTTTTCCTTTCACAACTTACCAGAATATTTTTTGTTCTTTGTTTGTCGTTTGTGTAGTGTTTTTTACCCGATTTTCCTTCGAAAAGGCAGAGATATTTTCATTTTTTAAAAACATAGGTCAAATGACTAACAGGATCCGCCATTTTGAGTTCGAGTTACAAAAAAGGGCGGGAAATCGCAAGCGCAAGCGTACGTCTAGGAGCAGATATATCGATAATTCTGATTGGTCGGATTTTCTATCGAAGAACGTGATTGGACAATATTTTATCACATTCCCATAATACTTTGCGTCTTTGGGGGGTAACCAGAGGGTAAAAACCCACGTATTTTGCTGAAGGCTGATCAGACAATGTTGAAAATACCTCGTTTGGTATCCAAAAATAAAATGAAGAAGTAAAAAACAGAAAAGGATAGAAGCTTGAAGGCGTTGAAGGTAAATTTTAAACATTTTTTCGTAAGTCAATATATTTTCTATAATTACTGATCTTATCAAAATCCATTGTTTTCAGTCTGCATTATCCCAACGAATGCATATAGGAAAATCAGACATATTTAGTTCATTCATTATTGGCTTTGTTTCTATGATAAACAAGCTAGAAAGAAAACAATTGGATTTTGATAAGAACAATAATTATACTAGATAATCACTTCTGCACGCAGCATTCGTAGGTATAATGCAGGCAGCTGAGGGCGTATTAAGTAAGACCAAAACTCTTGATGATCTGTACACGCAAAAATAACTTGGAATAAAGTGATAATCAGTATTGTAATATAATAATATAATAATAATGATGATGATAATAATAATAATAATAATATATTACTTATAACGCGCAAATTAGCATGTGTAAACCTTTCATTTTGGGACAGTTTTTTGATTGGTTACCCCCCCAAAGACGCAAGGCATTATGGGGATGTGAAAGTAGAGGATAGAAAAGGTCGTGTAGTCTTCCCACAGGGAGCCCTATTTAAACAAAAGCGAGGGTGAAAATAAAATCGAAAAAATTCCAAGACCCAAGTGCATTGTGCGTCATAGGACATGGTCTAACTAGGTTTAATAATAATAATTTATTCTATTTTTGGTGTATTCCATCTGAACCAATATACTAACTACACGTAGAGAGTTAACTGCTGTATATTTACTTTTTATTTCCAATTAACGAGACCTACAATGCCCTTTGGTCTTGGAATGCACTATTCAGTATGCAGTATTCAGTATTCAACCTTTTTTGAAATAGCTGTATATAAACAGCCGATATTAGTGTCGTCGCGCAGCTTCCCAATCGATATTGAAATTCTTTTGTTTTGTCCTCCAAATTGAGCTCCTTTGACGTCACATACAAGAGGTATATTGACTAGGTTAATCTTTATTTACAGAATTTAGATCGCTCTAATCTGAAACACAGTCAAATTATGAAGAATGATCTTAACGCAAAATTCAGTGTATTAATTGATTGCGTACGTTGGCCTGTACCATCTATAAAAAACAAGGGTTGTGTACGTTCTTGTCTGAACTTCTGCTGAGAATTGGAAAAATATTGATCTTCATCACGCTAGGGTAGCTTCATGAGATATTTGGTTTATAGGAAAAAGTAGTTAATTTTCAAATCCATCATATCGACAACAATAAGACTGCAAAATTTCGTAAAGATTTCCTTATAAATGACGAAGATATTAATATTCTTGCGAAGGTCTTTGAGCATATTATTGTAGATTATACTTTTATTTTCATTTTTCATAACTGCTATCAACAGTCTTGAGAACAGGTTTTACTGGTTTTCTAACCAGTTTGAGATGTTTGCATTACGTCATTAAAATATTTAAACCCAATTCCCAGAATCAAGGGGAATGTTTTATGTAACACAACGCTTAAAAATTCTCTTGGTTAAATTCTATCTCATAAAAAATTAACCCTTCCTCATATGAAATGACGGGGATGAAAAAGGCCCGAAGACTGATATTTTTACGAAAATATCATACATTACTGAGTTATATTTGAACTATGAATCACAAAGCGTGACATAGCAATTTGATATTGGAACGTGAAAGTCATACTTATCATTTTATATTCATTGATCTCGGCTAAACAACAGCACAGATGACTTAACATATGTGGCGAGCAATCATAAATAGTTTAACATAATCTTTCCTCAGAGCAAGGGGCTGTCTGTGTATATAAATAAGGGAAATTCCCATGTGGACTTTGAATACTCGAGTGACTCAAAAAAGTATGGTCTTTGAAGTATCACTATGAAGAAGAAGAATCGATGTCCTATAATAGRAATAAACTAAATGAGCTTACGAAAAACGTTCACAGGTTAAATATACCGGAATATATGGAGAGATGGCCAAATGTATCTTAATGTTGCGTGACAAAATATTTCCCTGAACCAAGGGGAATCCCCTGATGGGAAAGACCAGACATGACGTTCAGGTGATTCTTGGAAAAAATATAAACAAGTTGCTTCACGCCTTTATTATTGTCATTTCAACTTTTAAAGCGAGCGAAATAGTCTTAAAGTACCCAAGACCTACAAGAAATCTTTACAAGTTTTCAGTCTGGTACACTGAAATATTAAAAATGAACTCTATTCAAGAAATYGTACATCACGCCTCCATGTCGTACCTGGCCGGACGAGCTCTTACGATATTTTTTAAGAGAAACTTCTCCTTCAAGATCCACTATAAACAAGTGATCTTAGATTCTGTTGCAGTCTTCGTTGCAACGCTCATTGCTCCCAGGCTTTCGTCATATGGTTATCTGGGAGTGTCTGTAGAAATCCTAGCTTTGGCTTATTCGAATTCAAGGCACATTTACGACGAAATGCTCAAAACATTGGCTCTCAGCACAAGTTTGTACGTCGCAGTTCATGGCGATCTGACTGAAGCCACTTTCGATAACTTAACACTCGCCTTCGCAACAACACAATTCTTGAGGAAACCAAATGAGTTAAAGGAATATCTCAGGGAAATAAGAATTGTGTTTGGACCGATCTATGTGATTATGATGTCTGCAGGTTTACGCTTCTGCCCCTTTGACCACATCAATATACGATGCCTGGCGATATTGCTCTCCGTATCTTCGTCTGTAGTGGCTGCTATCTTCTTACGTCCCGACAACAGCCAGACACTTAAGGCAATTCTACCAGCTTCCAAGATTCCATCCACTTCCCAACGACAAGCTGCGCACGGCCTCTTGATGTTTTCGAGCCTCCTCGTCACATTTTTGAAAGTGTTGAAAACCTCCCCCTCGCTAATGCTAGCTGCATCAGTATTTGGACCTTTGAATATTATCTTGTTTCTTACCTACAAAATGGCAAAGTAGAATAGCGACGGTGAATCGACTGAGCCGATCTTGGATCATAAAAAACAGAGTTCCGAATGTTCTAAGCGAGCTTACAGTCAGCGAGGAGAAGGATTGGTCAAAGACACAGCTAAATACCTAGACACTAGCTAGTCGAGAAGAACTATCGTTGCATTAGTTCAAATTAACTACCACATCGATTTAAATCAAGATAAATATATATCTTTGAGCATGCACCAACAACAATTGCGAGATTAATTTATTCTGAACTGGAAAACAAAATTGATAAATATTGACTGGGTTTAAAAGGTTAAACTCCACGGGTACCGCGTTCGCGTTCGAGCAGAAACTTTGCTATTTATCATACGTTTAGTTCAGTACGACAGTTAAATAGTTCAATTGCAAATATTTTGGGGGTATACGTTAGAAAAAACATCAATTCAAATTTGAGCCTTGCACTTGTAAGTAAATCTGTAAGGGAAGAAAACGATAAAAAATCAGGCATGATTAGTAGAAGCTAAGAGCAAGGAAAATGACAATACTAAAATATTGCATGTATTGTTTGGGCGGAAATGCTTGTTTTGTATGTACGATAAAAAACACGAAACACTGTTAGAAAAAAGGGAATATTTTATGTTAAATTCGGTGCGCTCATATTCACCTACAGGGCACAGTTGTACGAAAAGTGGATAGCGCTATCCGGATCCGATGATGGTTTATCCGGCGCGTTGGTGAATATATAACGTGCGAAGCGCGTTCTGGATCCGCCACTGTAGAGATATAAATAAAATTTGAACAAAAAACAACTCTCTCTCCGTTATTTATTCAATTCACTTGTGCTTAAAATACTAAAACAATTATTCGCCAAAGGCGAAGTGAATATCGGGGAATATTTAACTCGTTGCTCGACGACTCGCGTCTCGGTAAATATTCCCCGACATTCGATGCGCACTCGATCATATTTTGGCATGTTTTACGAAAAAAATAGAATCAATTTAAGCCAGAAGTACTTTAATTTCATCGTAATATTTTGAAATATCAACTTAATTGGGTACAAATATTTTATGTTTGTGGTTTTGCATCAACGATCAGCCTCAGCTTTCGATTCAAAAATTAATTCAGAGTCAACTGTTTGTCTTCTCAATATTTTTTATTAGGTCTTTTGTTAATCTGAGACCGGAAATTTTCTAGGAGAATGAAGATCGATATGGCCGAGTACGGTGGCCGACAACGGTCATCCAAAGTCAAAACCACAAAATTGGTAAAATTGGTAAAGTCTAAATTCGTTTATACGCAAAAGTCAAAGTCAGTTCTTCTTTTCTCTATTTTCGCTTTATTGATTTTCGCCTTTGTCAATATTCGTCTTTCCGACTTTCGCTTAGACGTGACTTTTCCTTTTGTGCATTTTCACTTTTTGAAAAAAAACCGGCAGGCGTTACTTGCTCAATACCTAAGGGAGACTGGCTACTTGTTCTCAGTCCCCCTCGTTTTAGTACGAACAAAATGGCGGATACAGAAGGTGATTTGGAAGGTAAGCTTTGATTGTTCTGAGGGATTATTGTGTATCGTTTTCTCATTAAAGAAAATAAGTAGTAGTGGTAGTAGTAGTAGTTTATAGTTTATTTATTGCTTTGTTTTGTCCGCCAGATGTTGTACAATTTTTGGAAAGGCAGATCCAGTTGAATAAACCCATGAAGACGTTGTTAAAAATTCTTCAGATCAAATGCAATATCACTTGCTCGTAAGTCCACAAATTTACCAATGTTAAGATTTAAGCCCTGAGGGTTGAGAGGTTGTTAGGGACCGTTCATTTTTTTTATCGGGGTTGGGTTGGTTTTGGGAAGCTTAATGTGTCTAACATATCATTTTTCTCAAGCTCCCCCCCCCCCAACCCACTTCTGGGGTATTTAAGACCTTCTAAATTCCATCACTTTTTTCGTAACAAATAGCAAATTAACTGTTCAGACAGCACTGTTTTTATTTCACTTTAAATATTATATATATTTTTAAGCCCAAACCCTTGGTTAATTTCCATTTTTATGGCTGAGCTCCTCCCTTCCCCTACTAGGGCCAAAAAATGAGCGGTCCCATATGCAAATGAATATTGAATATACAATGGAACCTCTATTAACCTACCACTTTCCAAAAGTCCCAACTGAAGTAGTTGTCAGTAAAACACTGTGGATCTCTTGTTGAGACCTTTATTACTTAAGCAAACAACCTTTGTTATAAAGTGGCCACTTTTACAGCTGTAAATTATGTAGCCTAGCTGATCATGTATATCTATGTTATATGCTTATTTAGAGAAAGCAAACTCAGAAGGTTTCTGAGAGAAAAAGGAATTGTTAGGCATGACCCAAACCTTCGTCCTAAGGATGTTCTTTTATCCATAATAGTAAGTACAAGGTCATTTTTACAATAATAAWAAATTATGCAACTCTTCAATCAAAGGTCACTTTATACTTCTTTTTTATAATAGAATGAAATGGATGGAAGTGCTTGCAAGTTAGGCTACAGAATGATGTGGACTCGACTTAGGAGAAGGGGAATTCTGGTAAAAAGGTAAACTACTGTACAATAAAACACAGTGGAATCCATAATATTCAGAAGATTAGCAAAACAAAGTTTGGAACTTCTACTTTACAGGAGGAACTAACATAACATTTACATTTCATTGTATAAATTTTACATTTTTAAAAGGGATCAAGTAGCTGCCTGCATGAAAGTTCTTGGAGCTGAGAAGCAAGCACCAGCACACAAACGCAAGCATTATCCTAATTACTATTYCAAGGTGCTGTTACTTATATACTTCAATTCAACCCTAATGTAAAATGTAGAGTTATCATTATTGTGGCTATTTGAAAATGAACATGTATCCACATTGGAGTGATGTTCTACATAATTTGTGGTTTTGTTAGTATTGTTAAACCAACCTTTGCCATGATAAAACAATAGCATTTGATACTGTTTTTATATATGTATTTATTTTCAGGGAACCAAATTACACCTGGCACATCGATGGTAACGATAAACTTGCAACATGGGGCTTCTATACCCATGGTGCAGTTGATGGTAATGTTTCTGTTGGTGTTTGATTTCCTTTTAAAATTATTAGATGTAACCTACAGTATCTTTCATAAAAGAGTATTAACCATGAATACTATGTATGKTTTTACGATAGTGTATACATTATTGTAAAATGATGTTACATATCTTCTCTTCAGGTTATAGCAGGAAGCTTTTATGGCTTAAAGTATTTGTCACAAACAAAGACCCTTGGATTACATTAAAACATTTCATGGAATCAATTGAGAAGATTGAAGGTACTTGCAAGGGTACAATGCTGTAGTATCTCATTGCCTTATTAGCTTATTGCCAATCAAAACTGAAATTGATTTTATGAATTGAAAGGTTGTCCCACTAGAGTAAGATGTGATCCTGGGACTGAAAATGGTTTAATTGGCAAATGCCAAATGTTTTTACGAAGAAATGGGAAAGACGATTTAGCTGGAGAAGACAGCTATTTTGAAGGCTCCTCAGTAAATAATCAGGTAAACAAACTTCTATAGTCCTTGGATTTAACAGAATGTTTATTAATCAGTTTTGACAATATTCCCATTCTATTAATTACTAGCCCATTGAGTCGTTTTGGCRACATTACAGGGAAGAAGGATTTCAATTTTGGATTGATCAGTTTAAGGTGTGTTATTACATTGTCATTTTGGGYTTGTACTTTGTTAGAATCAAATGACTGCTTCAAGTTCCATCTGGATTACTCCTGGGTATGCTTAACATAATTATTGCATCTTTATGTGGTTACCCAAACTCCACGTTTTTTTAGTGCTATTTAGTTCTAATTAGTGTTATTTATATAGTACTGTTTCATGGTTRTAGTGTTTGCACTCTACTGCCAAATTTCCATCAATTGTTTAATCAATTTTTACGTTTATTTTTTGCAAGCGGTTGAAGTTGGATGGAAAGTGGAATCCAGGAAATACCTTACATCAGCAAGTTAAAAAAATAGCTAAGTATTACCTTGTTTTCATTTATGGCTTTGTTTGGCAAGTAGACAATAATTATTGAAGTAAAATATTTTTTTAATGCCAACRAAGTTACTGACACTTGACACTGTCATGCTCAAATTGTTCTTTTCATTTTCTTGAAGGTTATGTCTGCTTTATGTTTATATGCCTCTTCTGCAAAGAGAAGCTCATGACATACAAGAGGATTGGAACTCACACAGAATAAGGTTCCAGAAAGGAAAAGACCGTCCTTGTGGAGTACCAAATGATTTGTTTGACCTTCCAAGTATGCATGGTAAGCCCTGTTTCACTGGAYGGTTGTACAAACTTCTGTTCCCTTGCAATAGTAGACATAAAACCTAAGGATATTTTATGGGGATATTTTTCATCAATGAAACTGTAATATATTCATCAGTTATTTTATCRTTCAATAACTGCAAAATCATTACATTTATGTACCTTAACAGATACCACTTAATGAATTGTATTTTTCTAACTACCAAACAATAATTGTTATATAATTATATATAGATATATAACACATATTCATCAACTGGATATACAGTAAATTTGAACTAAAAAACATGAACTGTGTTTTAAAACTGAACTGCTCTGTAAGCTAGATAATAAAATGTTACTCATGCTAACATTCATAAATATTGCCAACATATCTTTATTCRAAACGAATTTCTTAAAAAAATGGAATGAATAATCTTGTATTTCTTTCTCACAAAGCTGACTTTTAGATTTCAACAAGATTAATTTTTATTATTAAAATAATGCTTTTTACCCAACAGGTGCACAAGATATGAAGCATGAAGTGTCCCATTCAGACATTTCATTTTTGAAAGAAAAGTTTGACCTTGGTCAAGACCTTGATTACCTTCCCCAGACATTCAAAGAGGAGGCCGATTTATTCATAAAGTTCACTGGTAGGGTATTGAAACTTGAAACTGCAACAGAGATTTACGAGGCACTTGTCTTGCATTTTTCTCAATAAATATTTTACCAAATATCAACTTCATTGAGCAACTCTAATTTAGGAAGAAGGTCTAAGAAAGAAGGTCTGTTTGATGGGGGTTGAAAACAGAGAGACAKCACTTCTTGAGCACCAGTGGAAATGTCCTGAAAGGTGGGATATTCATCCCTTTCTATGGCATTCATGACCTCCCGTCCATTCATCCCATCCCATGCTTTTTTCCTGCTGTATACCTCTCCCATGATTACTMCAAAGGAATAAACATCTACAGCCATGGTAGGTTTTTCCCCTTTAAGCTGCTCTTTGTGCTGGTAAGCCAGTGTCCCAGCATTACTGCCACCAACATTGGTAACCATTGTGCCATCTTTCAACTTACTGACACCAAAATCACATATTATAGGTTTCAAGGTTTTGTCCTCTATCTGTAAAAAGAGTGAAATAAAGTGCAGAATTTTAATATCAAATCTTTTCTTAATATATTTTGCCTTCACTTAACCATGATGGTATGAGGATTACTACAAAGAAATATCTTACTGTACATTTTAGAAACAAAATGTATCTTTTGAGATATGTACCATAACATTTGCAGGCTTCAGATCCTGGTGTATTACACCCTTTTCATGCAGATACGTCATTCCTTGGGCAATGTAGAACATGATGTACCCATTGTAGGTGTCATCTAAAAGTGTTATCTGCAAACAAGCAAGACATAAGTAAAAAAACTTTAAAACATTTCACTATTGAGATTGATCAATTTATCCTTTGCTGATAAGGTTATTTAGTCCCTCGTAATTTCCCATTTCATGCAGTGTTATTAAATTTTGGTTCAATTCAAAAGAGTATGATTTACAACTCGAAATGGTGTAAGATTAATAATAACTAATCAAGTCGAATTCCCWATCACAAGAGAAAAAGAAAAAAAATACAGTATCACCGAATAAAATGGAATCCTATATTGCCAATTTGATGAATCTTATTTGCCACTCCTAGCCCCATTGCCTTGCTATGCAAATAATGATATCTGTATGTGTGTATATATATACAGTATGTCTATTTTTTCTGTG